AATGCACTCACGGTATATAGGCATCGTCACGGCGAAAACCGGCTGCAAAAGGGACACGCTGGTTAAGGAAAGAAGAAAGGAGGAGGGAGCAGGAGCGGTCGCGCCAGAATCCCGAAGATTTTTCTTTTGCTTGCGCGGTACCGAGCGGTTCCCCACCTTGCAGAGGGTCCTCCGCGACCTCCGCGAGGCTGTTTCGCCAGCTTCCCTCTGCCCTCTGCCGAACTCCTCGATATCGAGTCGAAATTCTACGGAGGAGAACCGGTGCCGCGAATAACGAGCTGAAAACCGACGAGTCGAGGAGGACTTCGTTGGCCCCGGAGCCTCGACCGTGGCGTCGCCGGATTCGGTGGCGGAAATTAGAACTACGCGGCTACTACGCAGAAAAAACCGCGGTAAAACATTTTTCGGTATCCCTCGCGAGAAACTTTTCGATTGTTTGTCTTTCGTTCGACGTGTTGTGCTGCACCTGGTTTCGACGAGAACTGACGGGAAATATAAACACACGCTCGAGCGATAAAACAAATGAAAAGTATTTATATTCACGGTCGATGGATAGAGACGGATGCTAACCTATTCGAATTGTTGCGTCTACGATCCCTTCGCCATTTTCCTCGCGGTCGATTAACGCGCGTCCACGCGGTCTGGCGAGTTAACAAAGTTCGGGTAATAGAATGCAATTAAGGTAAACAGCGCGTTGGAAACGATTTCTCGAATCCTCGCGAAACGCGAGAATTCATGGACACGGGGCGGGAGAGGCAAACCGTGTAATCATGCAAACATCTTTCTTCGGCTATCCCCGAGGCTAGCTACCGGTCGTCCATGGGGGACGTGGGAACCGCGAACAACGCCGTTTCGAATTTTGAATTCATGGATTCCACTGTGCCGAGCAAACCGCCACGATGCTTCGACTGCAAACTTTTGTTGCGCTGTGATGTAAATTCGATGATTTCTTTTTTTATACGACCGTGGTTATTGTCTGTTCGGTCCAACGGTAGGCCTTAACGTTGAATTTTCGGAAGATATTTTTAAACGCCACGCAAAATCAAAGCCAGACGCCAGACGCTGCGTTCATCATTTTAACTTGGACGCATTATCCCCGTTATCGTAGACGACGCGTGGCGTTGGACCAAAAGAAAAAATCGCCAACGAAATAAATGTTAACGAACTCTCTCGAAGCAAACTCGACGGAGGTATTCGTTTATCAAGAGAAATTACGAGAAAAAATCTCGGGTAATAAAGCTTATCCGTCTAGCGGGGGCGATAAGAGTAAATGATTACAGGAATAATAAGGGACAGGTAGATAAGAACGACGTAATGCGTCAGATTTGCGGCAACGCGACGAGAAACGATACGCTTGTTTCTTTGGCAATTACGTACCATAAATAAGTCATTAAGCGCGAGTGTGCTTCCCTCGTATAATTTCGTGCGGACGATTTAAATTGAATCACCCGTTTCGATGAATTCCGCTTTCACTATTATGGGCCTCCCGTTAACGGAGATTTATGAGTAATCCATTGAGAACTTTCTACCCCGTACACGAGCTTATGAATGGCTTATCTAAACGAATCGTATCTCCTTTTACGCCCATCGATCTCCGCGATCTGATGCATCGCGGTTACAATTGAAACTGGAGGAACGTACACGAGCAATCGTCATACATATTCGGTTATGAGAGCCGGAGGCAAACTTATGTACAAACGAATGAAAATTAGTTTTCTACACCGAACAGCGAATAAATTTTCTATTTTAAGAATGCTTATTTATATAAAAACTAGCTTGGATACTACCAAACTCTGTTAGTTACCAGGTACCATGGTCTCTTCAACAGCTGCCAACATTTACGTATAAAGTTTACTAAAAGACTTTGCTTATATCCGGTGAAACGTAAACACTGCGCCCTGTATGTTCTTCTATGTCAAACTCGAGGTATTGAACAGGCGACAATAAGTTTTTGCGTTTGTTTTTTTTAAACTGGGTTACGTGTTTCCGAAACTACCCTTCGATGGAAAGAAACGTATCGTTCTCGAACGGTTTTCGCACGGTTGGAAGACGCAAGTGTGAAATTTAATCGGTCAAGTTTTACGTTCCACGCTGTTAACACGGTTTACGCTCAATTTATTAGCTGACCGACAAACTGTCCATAAAGGTTTCGCGCCACTTGACCGCTTAAAAATTTTGCCTCGAGCACCACCGGTTCGCCAGGAGACCCCCGAGCCTGTGTCAGAATGTTGCCTCCAACCCTTTCACGAGCTACGTTTGCCAAAATAATTAAACATACGAAAATAAATCAAAATACTTGAAAAAAATTTTACCATGTTAGATTTGTTCATAATAGTTATTAAGGCAGTGAATTAATGTATCTTGGAACGTTAGAAAATCTTTTTTTTCGCGCCGGTATCGATTACGGATAACCGTGGTTCGAGAGTACGGTCGTGTCGTTTGTGACGCGCTTGTACCCTTTTTAGGCACTCCCGCGTCGAAGGAAGAAACGCACCTGAGCCTACTGCACCGTCTGAGACACGAGTCAGGAATGTCGACCCGTGAAATCATCGGTTAGCATACGACGTTTAAGCTAGGCGTTTGTATTTCCAATGTCCTGCGCGATTTCCATCGTGCTTGGCCGGTGGTCCCCCGGACCCCGGTTCGAGAGACGCTTGAACAGATGATATCAGAGAAAAAGAGAAACAGAATGGTTCCTTTCTACAACATCGGTGGCTCGTAGAATCAATACAAAAACCGAGATGGAGGGAGTCGAATCGTGGATTCTTACGTCATACCGGCGAGAGACTGTGATTCAAAGTACAGAGAAGCAGGGTGCTTCTAACGATACGTGCATTAAAATTGAAACTAAATATTATCATTAACCCTTGTATTATCGTTTCTGGTTAACGGAGACCCGACGAGAAGCGAGAGCCTTAAAATTACGCGGTACGTCGACCTCGTAATTCGATTTTACAGCGATGTATCGTCAAATATCAGTGAAACATTGATTACTTATCGATAATCGATAGCAGCGCCTCTACTCTGTCATCGATGTAAGGGTTGAACAAAGGAGAGGATAAAATAAACAAACTATACGACGAATTTCTATGTTATCGATAGCAGCGCCTCTACTCTGTCATCGATGTAAGGGTTGAACGAAAAGAGAGGAAAAAATAGACAAAGATACGTCGAATCTTTATGTTACGCTCAGCGACATTTCACACAGAAATTCCCCAAGCAACACTCTCTCTCGGTTGTTCTCCCTTTCTCTGTCAAGAGCATGGCGAGGCACGCCCGTATCGTACGTGTACATATGCTCGCAAGCAGCCGTTAGCGGTTAAACACGAACGCGTCCTGTATCGTGATTTACAGAGGAACACGAGTGGAACATCAATCAATCGTAACACACGACGACAGTCGTAATCGAATCCAATTTCCTATCGTCCGAGACAACTTCGAGCCGATCTAACCTCAACATTTTCACCCGAAATCGTTCATAATTGTATCCATTAGCGCGTCCTAAAGCCGCGTTCGAACGAAAGCTAGTCAAACGATCGCTAAAAACGATTCGTATTATGCCGTACGAGAACATCGTAAAACTAGTAATAAGGTAACGTGTACCGGTGCGCACGCGTGATATTTTCATGGCTCGAACATGGTTTTATATTTTTAGACATACTCGGTTGGACAAAATATAATCAGGTTACATTTTACGCGATTACATGTAAACCTTTAATGTCTGAAAATATTCAATAAAATTTCTTGTATCCTGAACCGTCCCTAAACGTGTATCGAAGTCCGTTTATCGCGCGAATCGTGACTTTATCGAAGATGCTATCTCCTCGATATCTTGGCCGATAACGCGGCGAACGCTTGGCGTGCGTCTTACGCGAGATAATTTCCATCGCGTTTCCGATTCATGCTCGCGAAACGCGCATAGGCGTTCGCCGCACGCGTTGGACTGTTCGTACGAGAACGCTTACGAACGCCCATAGGCAGCCCGAAGAGTCAAGGCTGCGTAAAGATCGAATGTCGAGAAATTCGTCGACCCGCTGAATCCGTGCGAGGGAAAGAGACCGTTGGAAAAGAAACGACCGCTCGGAACGCGCGAATGAATTATTTATAGAGAACAGAAAGTAAGGAAGATGACGATGTTGAGCGGCATGATTCCGATCCTGTATAGACGTAGATGCGCGTGAATACGTTCGTAAGAGACGTAGAAAAATACGAATAGCCGCCTCGTAGAATCGAATCCGACGATAAGAAAAAGAAGAAGAAGTAACCGTGTTCGAAGAAACGAATCCTGTGGGAGCCTCTAACCGTGGCTACGACATTTTGTCCAGCGGATCGAACGGAACGTCGATGGAAAGAAATCTCGTCCGATAACAGAGATACACCTGCTTAAAATCACTACAAGTTCACGCGCAACTATACCGCGCTTGTATCTTCGCGAGAGAATAAAGCGGGACCGAAACGTTAAACCCAGAAATTTGGTAAGCCGTGCGGGGCAGGTAAGTTACACCCTAGATTATCGGTTCGATGCAACCGAACGAATCGCTAAGAACGAAGTGTATAAGAACGATAGACGATCGCATCGATAGTGGCGAGTTTGCGTCACGGCAAGATGACAAGTTACTGTCACACCGTACAGCCGGTATTCGTCCAAGATTTCATGAGAAAGGAAGCAGGCGAAGGAGCACACAGCGATGAGTACACGTACACCCGGGTTGGATACGATGGAAGGAGAGGGGATACACCAAAGGAGAGAAGAACGTCGCCCGCGGCTAGCAACCGCAAAGGCAAAACTCCCGTGAGTGGTTTGCCACCGTGAACTGGTTTTCGGAGGATATCGTTGTTACGCGTTGGCGAAAACAACGGAGCAGTGGTTCGACGATGATGTTCGACGACACACGCCTAAGCTGCCCCGGCGTGTGTCGTGTTCGTGTAGATTCGTAAAAGAACGAGAAGGAGAAACGGAGACAGATAGTTGGACAGAGAAACGAGTAGCACGGACTTACCCAGAGTTCTGTACCCCAGCTCATGTTTGCTGGGCCGGGTAAACCAGGCACGAGCAGCAGGCTTGTCACACTCTCGACACTTCACATGTAGCGTCGCGATCGGGATACACCTCTTGTAACGGACACGCGATAAAAACGCATGAAAAATCACGCGTCAGATCCACCGCGCTCACCGATCACTGAAACATCTCCAACATGTCGGCCCGTAACCACTGACTGGCCGGACCCAACTGTCTACCGAAAACCGCCCGGAATTCTGCCGTAGCGCGCTCTATCGACTTTCTTGGGTATAAGTGCGCATCGCGGTGGGGGACGGATCACGCCATTGGTCGAATAAACGCGTACATTAAGCGCCAACTATTCGAACCATGCACCGCACGAAATTTCTATAAATCCAGCGGATTTTTTGTATATCTAATAATTATTCTATATCAATGACAAAAGAGTATATCATGCTAACCTTTTGGAACGAATGAATAATCGTTACATTAATATATATGACATTTATTCGTAGGAAAACATGGAAATGTATATTTTAACGGAAACAAAATGCGAAGTTTCTATAACGCCACATATTTTCTAACAAAAATACCGTCAAAATTAATAGGAATTTCTTGTCTATTTTTAAATTGATACTTAGTTTAATATAATAACTTCCTATATTGCAACTCGACGATTTATATATAGAACGACACAACGTAACTCGATGATTTATATATAGAATGAATAACGCAATGCACGGAATATTTTCTACTTTCGAAATATTTAGAAACTGTCTAATCTCTATTTGTAAAAATGGAGCAATTGCTTTGGAATTACATGTAAGTACGACTAAAATGGCGCTGGGTGACTCGACCGAAGTATCAAAGGTCGTTAGTTGAGTGTAGATAACTGATTTTTTTACATCAAAACGAGCTCTTTATTACAATTTATCTGGCTCGCATTGTCGTCATTCTTTACATATGCATTCGTGACGCGAACTTCATTTAAAATCCTGCTATAAGCTAATGGAAGAAATGAATACGCGCTATGGAGGTTATATTTATTATATTTCATATGTATTTTTTTTTTTTTTATGTGCATATATGTTTCTCATATGTGTATTCTACCTATTCATTAAAATACAGAATCGTGTCTGTATAAGTGTGCATTTGCAATAATAGATTCCAACGTTAACAGCATTATAAAAAATTTATTACCTAATACTAAATTACTGTTATTGCTTCCAGGTAGTGGAATTATTTAATAGATACAATGACAATTTTGGATCATATATCTTTTCAACATGGATTGGCAAATTATTCACAGAGTATCAAATGTCAAAAACTTTGTTTGTTATTGTGGCATTGATTCTTTTGATTTTAATTGTTGTGTGTGTAATTGTTCTGCGAAAATGGAAGAACAAAGAATTTCTCCCGGAAGTAAAAGAATTTGTGGGTGTGGGTACAGGCAAACCAAGATTCAGGAAAAGGGACAAGGTATTATTTTATGGGAGAAAAATGTTACGCAAAGTAAAGTCCATTAGTGGGCAAGTACATGCAACTGGACAGGGAAAGAAACGAAAGGCTGTTATGAGATTTGCAAGAAGACTGTTACAACTTAAAAAAGATTCAGCTCCACAACAGTTAAAAGTATTTAAATTTGAATTTAAATTTTTAAAAATTTTTTTTAATATTTTGATATTTTTATTGTGTATTTTTTGTATTATGCTTTTCTATTTTTGCAGGTTTTGGAACCACCTGCTGAATATTTGGAAGAAGATCTAGGTCCTGGAGATAGGGTACCACCAGATGCTTTGTACATGTTGCAAAGCATTCGAGTATTTGGTCACTTTGAAAAGCCTGTATTCTTGAAATTATGCAAGCATACAGAAATTATGAGCTTACCAGCTGGAAGCAGTTTATTTAAAATTGGAGATCCTGATGAAAATTTATTCATTGTCCAACAAGGCTTGGTCAATGTTTATATCACAGGACCAGATGGTGCCCAAATATCGTTAAAGCTAGTAAAAACGGGGGAATCGGTAACTAGTCTTCTTAGCTTCACAGATGTACTTACTGGGCATACAAGTACCTACAAAACTGTATCTGCTAGAACTATGGAGGATTCTATAGTAGTCAAGTTACCAATGAGCGCATTTCAAGAGGTCTAATCTAATTATATGATGTGAATTTAAAAAGAACATTTAAGATCTCTAATGTAGTACTCATATTCGCATATCTACAGGTTTTTCAAGATCATCCTGATGCATTCGTTCGAGTTATCCAGGTCATTATGGTTCGCCTCCAAAGAGTCACCTTTACTGCTTTACACCAATACCTTGGATTATCTGCTGAACTAGTTAACCAAGGAACACACAAAAAGAAACAGAGCCCATTTTCTGGATCGCCGGTCAGATCGAGAACCAAGGAAAATTTCATGACACAGAATACAGAAAATCAATGCTTTCCGCCGGCATCCACCTCGTCGGAGCAACACGATGGAAGTGAAATGCTACAGCGCGATACTTCTACGTTGAATAGTCCTCCATCTGTACCTATTGTTATAAATCGACGGCCAAAGACTAATCTTGATTGGAAGAATCAAAATTTAAGCCCACAATCGGATCAGAATGTAGCGAACATGGTGCCAGAATGTGATTCCCATTGGCCAAATTCCTCGCCCGTAACACCGCAACAATTATACCACGAATCGCAACAGGGATCACAAGCGGATGTTGTACATACAGGCAGTTCTCATCCGAGCAAAAAACGATCAACCACTACAGAACCGATTCAGCAGCAACTAGACGAAGCACATCTCGTTCAAATAGCTACGGAAGCATTTGTTAGAGAACTTGGTTTAGAGGACGAGTCGATACTCAAAGATGGCAAGGTTCAAATTAGAGAAGTACCCGCTGGAACTTACTTAATGAAGGAAGAATCTCACAAGGTTGAAATTCACATAATATTGCGTTATATCTCGAAATTTAACTTCCACAGTTTCTTTTCTATCTTTTGCCATATTTGAGATATAATCTGTTCTATCATAGAAAATTTTTATATCACCATATATCAATGTTGTACTTACATTTTTCAGGATGTTGCTCTCGTCTATATCGTATCTGGTTTACTAACTGTTAGTCAGCGCGTTTCAGAGGGCAGAGACGTAGGCCAAGATGTTCACATGTTTAGCGCTCATCAAGGTGAAATTGTTGGTGGATTGGCTGTATTGACCGGAGAACCTTCTTTTTATACCATCAGAGCAAAACATCCCAGTCGTATAGCGCTTCTTAGTAAATCGACATTCTTTGCCATTATGAGAGAACAGCCTACCGTCGTATTACACGTGGCTCACTCGGTCGTTCGAAGACTTAGTCCTTTCGTTAGACAGGTATAAACATTTTCTTGTCTGTTTCACCTGCCGATCAATATAAATTTGTTGTTTTTCATGTTCGTCCAAAAGGTTGATTTCGCTCTCGACTGGCTATTCCTTGAAAGCGGAAGAGCGGTGTACAGACAAGGCGACGAATCGGACTCGACATTTATCGTGTTAAGTGGTCGCCTTCGATCTGTAATTACGTATAAAAACGGGAAAAAAGAACTCGTCGCGGAGTACGGGAAAGGAGACCTAGTAGGTATCGTAGAAATGGTCACACAGACTCCACGATCGACGACAGTAATGGCAGTACGAGACTCTGAACTGGCGAAACTACCCGAGGGATTATTTAACGTAATCAAACTTCGTTTCCCAATAGTGGTTACGAGACTTATAAATTTACTTGGGCATCGTATCCTCGGCACTTGGCAACAACCGCGTACAAAGAATGGTGGCAGTGATAAACGGTATGCATCTGGAATACGTTTCTGATGCGTTGCAGCGTACACGTTACTAATTGTATTTAAAAAATCTAGTCTTTGTACGTAAATACATTCACAGACGAGCTGCTGCGACAGTCGACACGAGACCGGCTCAAGTAAATTTCTCAACTGTTGCTATAGTCCCGGTATCCGATGATGTACCATTGACTGCATTTACGTACGAACTTTATCACTCGTTATGTGCTATCGGACCTTGTTTACGCCTCACTTCGGACGTTGTCCGAAAAGTAAGCAAAATTCATCGATATCTAAATTCCACTGCGAATAATTAAATTATACATTATTCTTTTTTCATCAATAGACACTAGGTAGCACTATCATGGAACCCGCGAATGAATATCGTTTAACTTCGTGGCTCGCGCAGCAAGAAGATCAACATCGAATTTCATTGTACCAGTGCGACCCGATATACACACTGTGGACTCAACGGTGCGTTCGACAAGCTGACTGTATTTTCATTGTGGGTTTGGGAGATAGGCCCCCTTCTATAGGTAGAACCGAACGCGAGATCGAGCGTTTGGTAATGAGAACGCAAAAAGAATTAGTACTATTGCACAAAGAACAGAGTGGGCAACGGCCTACGAACACGGTGCAGTGGTTGAATATGAGATCTTGGATTTCTAGTCATCATCATATACTATGTCCTAAGCGAATGTTTACAAGAAGGTCTCAATATAGAATTGTAAGGCGCGACACATCGTACCTAATATTTCTATTGTATAAAACGATTAATTTTGGGAAACTTACTTTCCAGAATGAATTGTATTCCAAGGTTCTCATGTCAGAGCCAAATGTTCATAGCGATTTCAGTAGACTCGCTCGGTGGTTAACCGGAACATCGGTTGGACTTGTGCTTGGAGGTGGTGGTGCTAGGGGTGCAGCTCACGTAGGAATGCTCAAAGCGATCATCGAAGCCGGTATACCTATAGACATGGTCGGCGGTGTTAGTATTGGAGCATTTATGGGTGCGTTATATTGCATGGAAAAGAATATTACGACGACGACTCAGAAAGCTCGCGAATGGTCTAAGGTAACTACTATAAAATTAACATTTTTTTACCAATATCTATATCAATGAACATCTTTTTAACAGAAAATGACACAATGGTGGAGACAGATAATGGACTTGACGTATCCGGTGACATCGATGTTCTCTGGAAAAGATTTTAATAAAACGATTCAAGCAACGTTTGGTGATACGTATATAGAAGACCTGTGGTTACCATATTTTACGATAACTACAGACATCACTGATTCTTGTATGCGTACGCACACACACGGTCTGTATTCGATGGATGAAAGTTTCCCATTCCTTAAAGCATTGATAGTTTCCAGCTTTCTTTGATCAAATGTGTTTGAAACAATTAAAACTGTTCAGCTTTAACTGGAAACTCTCTCGCTGTTTTGGTAAAAATTCGTAGGTCCTGTAGATATGCTTATGATCGAAAAGTTTGTTTCTAAATTTAATCACGCATTTATCGTAGATCGTTACGTAGAAATAAGCTTGAACAGCGGGAGTGAGCTTCCTAAGTAATCGTTGTTGACGTACTCTCCGTTTTGTAGCGTTTGCCATCAAGGCAAACATTGTTTGTTTTTACTTGAAATTAGATTTATAAACGAGAAACCTTCCTATATAGTTTCTATATTAAATGGTGGTAACAAGGCAGTTTGAAGCCATTGCTGTTCCATATTACGTACATCATACAATTTATAAACGAATATAGGAAGTAAAGAAAGAATGCGTAAATATACATTAAAAAACTTCATTCGTCGTGTTTAGGATCGCTGTGGCGGTACATTCGGGCTTCGATGTCTTTGTCTGGTTATATGCCACCCATGTGTGACCCAGTTGATGGCCATCTCCTGCTCGACGGCGGGTACGTCAATAACCTTCCAGGTAATTTAAGCGTAACATTAAAAAGAGTGCGTTAAAAGAAGAATTTTAACACTGCTGCTATATCTATAGTATATGTTTAGGAAAAAATATACTATATTGTTGCTAAATGTTTGCCACTGTTTTCCAAAAAAAAAAAAAAAAAAAATCTTATTGAATTTATTTTGAATATTTAACGCTGTTCAAGATGTAGAAATACTTGACACTTTCGCTTCTTTTTTTATTGACAGAATACATTTATTGAAAACATGCAATACATAAAGCTATAGCGGAATCCCACAACACAGTGAAACCGTCGATCAAGCGATAGACTGAAAAATCTCATAATATCGTCTGATCGACGTACAGTGTATTAAGTTGAACGCACGTAAATTCATGAAAGAAAACGTCTATAAATTCTCTTTAATTTTATAAAATTACCTGGACATTGCGCAAGTTTACGTCAATGAACGAGCAGAGTCTAAGTACTGAAACAATTTAACGAACAAAAACAATGCAATTTGAAAACAATATAAAAGCTCACTCCCGTTGATGAAAGATGCATTTGTCAAATTCTGAATAGCTAAGTGAACTCAGGTTTGCTATGGAGATACATTCGAGCCAGTATGACCATTGCGGGGGTCTTTCCTCCTATTTGCGATCCTCTTGACGGGCATCTTTTGGTCGATGGGTGTTATGTTAATAACGTGCCAGGTACCTTAAAACCTGTATTGTTTAACACTTTATACAAATAGTATATACCCTGTCGTAATTAGTTCTCATCGTGTACGTTCAAAATTTGTTGAAGCTGACGAAATGTTGAGGCAAGGAGCACACCATATTTTGGCCATTGACGTTGGCTCGCAGGATGACACAGATTTAACTAATTACGGAGACTCTTTGTCCGGTTGGTGGTTGTTGTGGAAACGATGGAATCCTTTCGCAACGCCTGTTAAAGTTCCAAATTTGCCTGATATACAATCGAGATTGGCGTACGTGAGCTGCGTGCGACAGCTGGAAGAAGTGAAAAGCTCTGATTATTGTGAATATATCAGGCCACCGATAGATAAATATAAAACTCTTCAATTTACTAATTTCGATGAGATTAAAGATGTTGGGTATCAACATGGTAACTATTATCTGTATATGAAATTGAGAATTTTATATATATATACATAAGTTATTTAATGTGCGTGTACAGGAAAGACTTATTTCGAAGGACAATCAAAAGCGGGAGTTCTTCCACGATTTAATGCCGATAGAGAGAATGCACGAGCGTTGCGAGCTAAACATCAGGCGTCGAGTCAGCAACCTGTGTCTTCTTACACATTTACAGATTTAGCTCAGATGGTGTGCAAAGTTTCTAGAGGAAGTCGATACACAGATCTGGACATGGATTCTGATACAGATGAATTAGAAGAATACGAGGCAGATCTAGAGGAAGATGCGCAAGAAGTAGGTTATGCCTCAGAACCCACTGCCGGTTTTCTAGATCAGGTAAGAAATTAAACTAGGTACAAACTGGTTTTACATACTTTTTCAATATTTCTAAAGCTACTGTGTAAAACGCTTTACGTTTGTCTGTTACAGAGTCCTGACGAAAATCATCTACGACGGAGAAATGGTGGTTCTTTGAGTCTATCAGACACAGAAGCAGAGTCAGAACTAGATTACCATCCAAAAATATTTTAGACCCTTTACTCACTCTTACTTTAAGATAACATAATTTGCGTGTCTTACGATATGTGACCGTACATAACACTCACACATTCATTTGTACAAATTATTATAACTCTACAATCATGCATAGTTTTATGAAAAAAAAAATGTATTTATTCTAAAGTACAAAAAATATTCTTAAGACAAAATATTATGAGTATTTTACCATTATCATCAAGATAACAATGCAATATTTAATTAATATATTACGAATTGATATAGTTATTGTTATTATGATTACTAAATATATAATTGTACTGTTTATACAAAATATTTTTATTATTTATAATTCCGTAATATACAATTTATATCACTGTTATTATCAAATATTCCATATAGAAATCTGTTCTTAAAAATACGTATCAAAATTTTGTACTCATTGTCAAATTCGGGTCTAATATAGAAAGAACTGCACCTACTAAATGCAACGATCCTGTAACTAGAATTTGAAATTTCTCGTTACAATTAACGTTATCCGTAGAACCTTTTTTTATTTCTTCCAGACATTCAAATACACTATTTACAACCATTGAATCTGCTTCCCATTCATTGGAATTATTTACACATTTCAGTTTTTGTGCATCTATTAAATAACAATTCATTTCGTTGTCTGTAGTTTCAATTCTTGCAAAATTTGGTACAAAATACGCTTTACGAAAGCCCAATGGCTTCAAAAGTGTCAAGAGTGTAGTCGAATTTCGTTTCGAGCTGGTATTAAAAATTAAAATTTTGTTTCCTTCGCTTCTACCGTTGCTTACATTGTTAAACCAATCGATGCAGCATTTCATACTTTCAATCGTATGCGCACCATCTAAGAAAAAATCAGCCATACTACCTCTTAAAATTTGCATTCTACCTGGCCACTTGCAAGCACATAAACCTATTGCAATTTTGTCCATAGACACAATCTCTGACAGCTCTGTTTCTTGTATCAAACTATTCCTTTGAATATACTCGTTATTATTATTACCATGTATGGTATTAGATGTTATAGGTACACATTTATTGCTTTTAGAGGTTATCCACGTAGTAGCCATCTGAATGGCCAAAGATGCATTTTGTTTTTGAACATTGTTTGTTATTTGTAAAATGGGTGATATATTTTCCCATGTATACTCTTCTAAGGAAGGGATAACGCGTAATGTACAATGACTTTCAACTGCTCTTTTCTCTAACACATGCATAGCTTCTGGAAGTTGTGGAACAGAAAATGCAATAGATTTTGGTTTAAAAATCCCAGACTTTTGAAAAGCTATGTCCTCTATGGTATTACCTAATACACTGGTATGATCCAATGCTAAACTAGTTATACCTACACATACAGGACTTTTTACAATATTTGTACAATCCAATAACCCTCCAATTCCAACTTCAATTATAGCAACATCAACATTTACATCCAAAAATATATGAAACATTAGAATCGTTAAAAACTTAAAAAACATGGGCATATCCGATTCATGTTCTTTTGTGTTATCTAGCTTGTTATACACCCTCCAGAAGTACCGTGTAAAGTATGATTCGCTTATCGGTTCTCCATTTATTCTAATACGTTCTCTAACTGTAACTAAATGCGGAGAACTAAAGAATCCTGTCCTAAAACCATGTTTACGTAAAATAGCTTCCGTATATGCGCAAGCAGAACCCTTTCCTTTAGTACCTGCTACATGTATGACAGACAAAGTATCTAATTTTTCGAGCGTAATACCAGATCTATAAAAGCAACATAAGTAAAGTTACATTTATATTCAATGTGTATACTGGTTTTTCAATAAAATATAAAAAGAAATTATTACCGGAGCAGAGCTTTTCTTACATCGTCCAACTTATTAGAATTATCAACGTTTGGTTTTGTTGCCAATTTCAAATATTGATAATTGCTTTGTAAACTAAATAATGCTTTTAAAGCATCCTGAAAATGCGTAAACAATTTTCATTAAACATCTTACTTTAATATTTTTATCAATGAAAATTAATTAAGCATAAATTAAACAACAATTCATGACACATACTTTATACGATTTATTGTGATACGAGGCACAATTAAGATTTTTTTTCGTATTTACGTTCATTGTTTGCAAAACCAACCACCTCCAATCGACCTTGAAAAGTAACATTGATAAGAAGAGCGGCTCTGCGAATCGTTTTGTAATTTTATCGTGTACACAAACATATAAAATGCCGTAATTCATATGCGAAAGCTGTACACGTGACGAGCATGTAAAGATATAAATATACTCGGTAAAAATGACCGATTTGGTCCAAAAATCATATCGTGTAAACGCGCCGGCACTTAACGTATGCAGCATGTGACCGCATTACGTAGTGCAATTTATGCTGCCTGTTCCAAGCAGTAGAATTTCCGAATTCCGTGTATCGTCGCCGTCGAGCTTGTCCCATCCGATCACACCACAACGTAATGCGCGCGCGTGGCTAACAATTGCAAATTGTGCCTCCATTTTTATCGACACATCTCTGTTAAGGCTGTTTGTTCACACAAGAAGAGTTCTTTTAACACCAACTTCGGAACCGATTCAATTGTAAAACGTACAAGCAAGTTTATCACGATGGCAGATATGTCAATGAATATCATTACTCCGCGAAAAATGTCTTTCGGTATCAATGGAAAGCTGAACGGTTTGGAAAGTAAAACACCGTTTTTAATCGGGGTTTCGGGAGGTACAGCTAGCGGGAAAGTGAGTAACATACGTATTTATATCTCTTCGTAACGATCTGGTCAGTTTTACTTGTCACTTTACGTGTAATACGATTTTTATATGATTTAACCTCTATAGAGATTCCTTAATAAAAAAAAATATTTTTTTTTATTCATTCGATAAAAAGATTGATAAAATTATTATTTTTTATATTATTGTCCCAGTCAACTGTTTGCAAACGTATAATGGAAAAACTAGGACAAGTTGACATGGATCACATGCAGCGACAAGTTGTTTGCATTTCACAAGACAGTTTCTATAGAGACTTATCGCCGTCAGAGAAATTGAAAGCGGAGAAAGGTCAATACAATTTTGATCACCCCGACGCATTTGACAATGATATGATACTTCAGACATTACAAGATATACTAGCTGGTATAAAATGTGAAATACCGAGCTATGATTACAGAACGAACAGCTTGTATGTATATTTCAAAATAGCACAGACTGCCAAATAGTTGCAATGTTTTAATGGTTCTTTTGGATTTTAGAATAAAAAATCAGACTACGACGATCTACCCTGCAGATGTGGTTTTATTCGAAGGGATTTTAGTATTTTATTTTCCTAAGATACGAGAGCTGTTTCATATGAAGCTGTTTGTAGATACGGACTCAGATACTAGATTAGCTAGAAGGGGTAAAATTATGCAAAAATACTTGTTGCTCTTAATTATTAATAAAATTATATATAACTGGTATAATCATACATTATTAAATGAATATTTTCAATTACATAGTTCCAAGAGATATAAATGAAAGAGGAAGAGACTTGGATTATGTGTTGAATCAGTACATGAATTTTGTAAAACCTGCATTCGAAGAGTTTTGCCTCCCTACAAAGAAGTTTGCTGATGTAATAATACCAAGAGGTGCAGATAATACAGGTAAATTGTTGCATTATAGCATTATATGAGATAGTATGCAAGATTATGCTTTCAAGCATATATGGTATTACATATATTTTGAAATATTTCATCACACTTTTTTTTGGTATTAAACATGTAACCAGAATTATTAACTTATTCATGTATGTAAATTTGCATTATATCATCTTAATTTATTTTCATCCAATCTGCACCTAATTTATGAATTATAAAAGTTAACTGTGATATTGTAGCTGTAATAGTAATATTTGTTTTAATTTTAAAGATATTATTTGACTATAAATTAGGTGCAGGTCTGATATAGTAAGGCAGCTTAAATTTTCGTTCTTTGCATTTGTATATGTTTGTATAGCTATTCATGGGTGCTGCCTGGTATGTAAGGGCTGACAAAACAAGCTGTCTTTTAAGTTAGTGTGAAAATTAAGGTCATTTAAGAAAACGTACATGGTTTGGTTGTTGTATGTTTGCAGTGGCTATAGACCTTATAGTGCACCACATCTGGGACATTTTGCGTTTGAGAAAGGCTGAAAACTCATCCGGGCAGCATCCATACATCTGCCAACATATGCGTACTTCGACTTCATTCGACTCGCTCAGCAGATGATCTAAACATAATTTCCTCATTTATAAGCACAACATTTTTATATATATCATACATTTATGTATAATCAAATTTGCAGTAACTTTGAATCCTTTTTTTTCTAAGTATTTAATATGTCGCTTCTATACTTACAGAACTGTATTTGTATTACATTTATACTAAGCAACAGAGAATATTGCTTTTAATAAGTGTGCATCCATAAGTCATGTACATAGGGTAAAATTAATTTTACGCTGCTCCTAAAATATGGGTGTACTGCATGATTATACAAAGTACCTTGTCCAAACATTGTAAAATCGATTTTGCATAATTATTCAATTTTATGTATAAACTAACATACTAAAAAGATGAAAGTATTACTCACATGTATATATATATGCAGTTATGCATGTATCAAAAAGCTTGGACTTTTTATACACTTACTCCAATCAGTTTAACGCTTTCTGCATCCATGTAGACGCGAATTGAAATTTGATATTAAACGATTTAAACAAGTACGAACGATATAACATTAGCATAATTCTTTAAAATGTAATATTTATAATTTAAGCGAGTGTTTTTAACAGAGATTCAAGACTTTCGCGACCGGAGTTTCTGTTAGTATTTATGGCTTCCAAATGGATGTAGCATCTAAATTTAGCAAGTTGCCTATGAAAAAGGTTCATATCGAAGAAATAAATCGAAATGCCAACAATATGCTGAATTTATACACAGCATGTTCTAACACTTTTCAATTGTATTATACCCCCCCATCTCTTTATGCAGTTTTTTTGTTTCACAGATGCTCGAATCATTTCAATCCCAATAAAAATATGTCAGTATTGTAAAAGAAAATTATGGTTTGAATTGTATGTTTTGATATTAAATTTTGTTTATATTGTAAAATAAAGTATTAATAAAGAAATGAAATTTCCTGTCACCGAACGAGCGATCTTTAACCATTTACTTATATTTTGTTTTGTTGCAGTGGCAATAGACTTGATAGTGCAACACATAAGAGACTTCTTAAGCAACAGGGGTAAGGTTACAAAGGAGCGTGAAAGTTCAATGAATAAAACAGAAAAATTGTCAAAGAGGCCGCACTAATTTTAAAAGGTTCAGAGCTCGATAACAAATAAGTTCAATAATCATGTTTTTTGTTATATACAGTACATGCATACTGTTTAATGTAGCGTAGCTACATTAAACTAGTGATAAACTTAAAGTGATATAAGTAAGTTTTAACAAAAAAAAAATGCATAAGTAAATTGTTTCCGTTTTCACAACTGTTGTTAAATACTTTGAAAACTTAGGTACAAAGTGCTAATGTCAAATCTTATATTTTACCCCGAGGAAAAGGCTATATTTGTAGAGAGTGAGTTTATAAAGATATAGCAATATTTAGATATTAAGTAACAATTATAAATAGCAAGCTTTATACAGTACGAACATTTGTTAACGGCAACAATACGAAATAGGATTATTTTTGCCATTGCTATCTATGTTTATTTATTGTATAGTTATTATATACATTGTATATTTAGAGAGTATGTAAGATATAAAATCATGAAATATAAAAAGTTACCGTGACTGTTATTATTGTATTTATATCTAACATCAATTCGTATAACATTAACAATTAATTAATTAATTACTGATAGTAAAGTTCTAAATTCATGCCATCATGAATTTCATCTAAATCATTGAGTCAAGAAAAATATATTGAAAATTATTTGATACTGTACGACAATATAAAACACAATATACACTTTATCTTAAAGGATACAATCTTGTAGTTTTATATGATCCTTGAAAATGGTATACCACTTCTTTAAAACAATCTTTTCCCAATGTGTTCCTGTTTGAGCAGCTATTAATTTCTTTAAATCGCCTATCGTGTCATCTGGATTACATTTAACCCTAACTTTTTTCCCAAGACGGTCATTGCATGTTATCTCTAGCATTTTTTCTCAACTAAATATAAAAAATAAAAGACTATTTTAAAATAACTTACACTTTTAGAATTCAATGCATTTTCTCGTTCCCTATTATTTTTATATGATAAATTTACACCGACAAAATATCCTTGCACTTAACGATAAGATACAATATGACATTTAGAGGCGATATTTGATTTGTAATTACGTATACGAATTCAATGTTTTAACGTAGAAAATACTATCAAGGTTATAGGTTATGATTCATTAATATCAATAAATACTGCGCAAACATTAATCGTTTTGAAAATGATGCTTTCAGTCACATGTCATACCATAGTTCATTAAAATGGTTCTCAAATACACCTAATACTATTTATTTACGTGTACAGTAATAACGTGAAATATTTACTTACAGCGTATCGTTATATCAAAGTTCCGGAAAAACTAATTCACGACTGCTCTCTTGTGGATAAAGTGCGCACGTTAATTGGAAATTCGATGGTAAAGGAACTATGAATCGTCGATGATACGTGTTTTAATATATCGACGACAAATCTTACAATATTCAAAACGTTAACCAAACGAGGAAAATGATACGAACAATAGCAGCTGTAATGCACGTTATCAATTTCTTTCACGACCGATAAGAATTTGAACACAATTTTCGCGTTTTGAATTTGAAAATATTTCAGAGTTAAGGGATATACGGTAATTACTAGTTGAAATAAAAGTACGAGAGAATACGTTTACGGTGTCGTCTAACAACTATCTTCTGCCATTACCGAATTCTCCGTGGACGGCGATGGCGGACGCAGCAGATCTTCCCGGCGCTTCCTCCAGCCAGAAGATGTCTTCGAAACTATTAAGACAAAAGGCACAGGAATTTCTGGCTTCAAGGAAACACGCGAATAATTTAGTAGACATAATAGCCCAATGGGATGTAAGTGCGAGCTCTAAAATCATTTGAAAACGACAAATATATAAACTTTTCGAGGTTATGCCGTTTAATCAAAATCCTGATCACCCTCTATCAGGAATCCACCACGTCCTGCTTACTTACGATAGAAACGATATTCGTTGAAGTTTTAAGGAGAGGTGACATGTATCTCGAACGAACAATAACACTTACAATTTCAGGTATGCTTGAACGTTTTGATACTTTAATCTTGTTTGACAACATGCATGCTTCCACGAATCTTTTGACTGATACTGTATTTCAAAACATTTTACACGCTTATATTTTGTGATAAATATTTGCTTGGGCACAAAGTTCATGCGCGAAAATTAAAGTTTTAATTTTATAAATATTTAACAATATAAAATAGCTATTTTCAACGAATTTATGAAACAGAACCGACTCCAGAAGCTAGGTACATCAACTGGTTGAGAAACTGTTACGAAGAAATATGGGAGAAAATGCTTCTATGTATAGAGAAATATCGACCTGCTGTTCAATTACAAGCACTAGCTACCGCCATAAAGCTCATGGCAGAAGAAGGAAAAAATCCCTTGGAGCCAATGGGTAATTTAGGGTATTGTTTTCCACTACATCGGTTGAAACCTATTTTGATGAGTTTACTTTCACCGGAGAAAGACAATGCTAGTTTAATATCTAGATTTCAAGAAATCACAGAGTATCCTGATGCTCTTTTCTATGCCTGGAAATGTCTTCCCTCTCTAACTCCAAAAAGGCAACCACATGAAATTTATATAAAAAATTTACTCGAGCTTATACACAAATTGCCATTACCAAAAGAATCTGAAGGTATACATTTACAAAACTCTAACTGTTCTAACATAAATAATTTACTGTTTAATCTGATATGTAATGCACATAAATTTGTCTTTCAGAATATGAGATGTCTGAAAATAAAAATTTACTATGTGGACCACAACAAGGTAACAAGAAAAGAAATATGTTGTATTTATATTTCAATCGTTATAGCTTTTTATATGTTCGTATTCTTTTTATTAGATATTAAAAATTTCGTATGGGATCAAGCAGGGGCCAGACGTGCATTAAATAAAGTCTGGGTTTGTGTTATGTACTGGGAATTAACGCCACAGTTACACAAACAATTATTGATAGTACTTTTAGAATGTGTAATGCCACATTTAGAAAAACCTGTTCTACTAACAGATTTTCTTATGGATTCCTTGGATGCGGACGGGCCCATTGGCTTGCTCGCGTTACAAGGTGTATTTTTACTAGTTACCAAACACAACCTGGAATATCCCAATATCTTTACCAAACTTTATTCTATGTTCGAGCCAGAAATCTTCCATACGAAGTATAAAGCTCGTTTATTTTATTTGTCCGACCTTTTCCTCAGTTCGACGTAAGTATTAACAATATCATGAACCGTCTGTTCATAAATAATATAACCAATTACCATTTGTTTCTATTACGTTTTAGGCACTTACCGGAAGCGTTAGTTGCCGCCTTCGCAAAACGACTCGCGCGCTTAACTCTTGTTGCGCCACCCGAGGATATTCTCATTATTTTACTTTTTGTTGGAAATCTCCTGCTTAGGCATCCTGGCTTGAAACGTCTCATCGATCATCCGCAAGAAGGCGAGATCTCAACGGAGGAAAGTAATGGCGCCGGAGACCCGTTTTTGATGGAAGAGCGAGATCCATTGCTGAGCAACGCTCTTCTCAGCAGTCTCTGGGAAATCAAAGCATTGCAGTGGCACATCGTTCCGAGTATCGCTAGCGCCGCGCGTTTTATTCGTGAACCTTTACCCTCTGTCGAGTACGACATGGCATCAGCTTTAGAACGCACGGGTGGACATTTATTCGATCGTGAATTAAAAAATAAGGTGAAAGATATAATGTTAACATTCGAGAGGCCCAATTCTATAGCTTTGCCAAAGGGGGAAAGATTATTGCAGTATTGGCAGCTAACGACAATGCACTGACGATCGATATTAATGTTATGCATTATATATGTATATTGTGCAATATGCATCGGTATCAAAAAGAACACTGTACTTTCAATGAACAAAATAACGCAAGGAAAAAGATAAAAGAAATTATCTGCGTTTGTTTTATACGTTAAAAAAAAATGTGTAGTACGAAGATATTGCATACTTTTGTATTATTTAAAGTCTAAAAAGTAATTGTAAAGGAATTGATTCGGAATACATTGTTTCACGAGCAACATGTAGATATGTATTTTTAGATATCCAATCGTGCAGTTATCTAGTACAATAGCTACTCGTGAATACTACTATTAGTTCTGTTAAATGAAGTCATTTGTATGCATGAATGTGTGATAATAAAATGAAAGTTATTTAATTTAATAGATCACCCGTGTCTCGTTTGTAATGGAATATATCTACTCGATGAATATTATACAGGTAAGCATAAATGGATTCTACAATTCGGTAGTACCATGATACAATCTTATATTTTAAACCAGTATTTAAATAATCCCGCATTTTACTATAATACAACTAAATAAGCACCTTACATATTATTGTCGATTGTTATGTATAAAATAATTTATGTACATAAACAGAAGTGCTTAATCCGGATAGCATTATGCCTATTGTGTATTTTCCAAAGCCTGGAACATTAAAATAATTACACGTTGTCATTTCAAATAATTTGAGTAATTTCACTTTTAAATACTATATGCCGAATAAACAAAATTTTTGTACAAAAAGATTACTCTTTGTATGATAATGTATTATGTAAAACAGACAAATGTAGTTTAATGATTTAAATTTACAAACCTGTATTAATTGCCGCCATTCGGTCTCGTTTAACACACGTTTTATTTTCACTAAAATATTTGCCGGAATGTTGGGAGTTGACGTTAACGTGTGTTCTTGCTTGGTAGGTACGTATTCTATTAGCAAAAGTTCTGCCACTGTTGGCCGTTTCTTTGGGTCATGTTGAAGGCACTTACGCATCACATCGATTAAAATTGGCGGTGGTGGTACACCTTTATTATCGCTCTCTCTTGACAAAGTTGCGGGGAAATGAATATTCGGTTTTGGATTTGTTATCGCGTTCACTTTGGCCCATTGTGAACGGATATGATGAAACGGTGTATGACCATACACTAAACTATACAAAATACATCCTAATGACCAGACATCCGACTTGAAAGTAATCTATGACAAACATATTTTTTAATACTTTATATATCGCGATCTTTTTCAAATTTACACGGACTAGTTTTTATACCTTATATTTGACATTTTGCGTAGGAGAATCGGAACTTCCACCAACGTCCATCAACGCTTCTGGACTGATATAATTTAACGTTCCAATTGGACAGTTTTTTATGACAGATGTCATATCACCATTCATACTAGAAGCAATTCCAAAATCTATAAGTTTCAATCTCCCTCGTACTAATAAAAAATTTGCGGGTTTCAAATCCGAATGAATTACTCCTAGAAATATACGTAAAACAAAATTAGTTACACAAGGATTATAATTGTCTATCATGATTCGCTGATGATTTTTCTGTATTAAGATGTCTACCATTATCGTGTATATGTTTAACAGCTGTCAACATTTCTGTCCAGTAATAAAGAATCATTGCATAAGAAATTTGCTTCTCTTGTGTCATACTTTTTAAAAGGCGACTGAGATCAGTGTCTCCCATTTCCATTACCACAAAGACCATTGGATACTTAATTTCGCTAAGGCAAAAAACTTGAATGTAAATGTCAGCACGTGTATATATACGAAATATACATTTACAAAATAATTTCTTACTAATCGAACATCTTAACAACGCATGGCGCTTGTAATTTGTGTAGCATGGAAATTTCCTCTAAGCAACCTTGTGCAGAGTCCTTGTCCATACGATTAAGATAGACACACTTAATGGCAGACAATTCAAGAGTGGATAAGTCTTGTACTCTCAAAACTTCTCCACTCATACCTTGACCAAGTATGCCCAAAATTAAATACTCCTTTCCTTTTACAAAAAGGGTCTTGGTGGGTCTTGATTTGGAAATGTTAGATGGCATTGAAAATTGTACATTTGATGCATTATCTACAGCTGTTTTTGGCTTTTGCGGCTGGTTTTGATTACTATCCATCTCGTATTGATTTTGCAGATTATTACATACTGCTTTAGAAGTCTCTTTGCTATTTTTATCGGAATGAGTTATCTGTTCACTATTTGCTATCTTATTCTGTTCTGTCGTCCCTTTATCCACCAACACATCCTCTACATTCGGATAATCATTTTCCTTCAATCGTTCATTAATGCCCGATTCCAATTGTACAGCATTTTCTGATGCTTTAGATATATGTTTAGCTACACTCGCAATAGTACTTACATTTTTATTAAATAATTTATTTCGACTGTTAGGCGTTTCTTCGTTTACTTTGTAAAGTTGAGAGCCTTGTAACAAACTCTTTTTTGAAACATTATTGTGCGCAAGACTTCCTGTGTCTGCCAAAGGTTGTCTCATTTTGCTCTCCGAGTTTAAATACCTGCAATAAAATATTCGTTTCAATGAACAATTATAATAAATATACACATATTTGTACTATATACCTTTGAGTTTCGTGTCTTGTCATATTAGGTGTAAAATAAACAGGATTTTTGGGGGTTTGAATAGCATCCTTAAAAGTGTTATTTTGCAGCGGTGTTTGTTTAATATTATTTTGAGACCAATGAGTTGAAGCTGTAACTGGGGTTAGTCCATGATTCTTCAATATATCTATTTTGCTCTGTGGTGTTTGAGCAATATTTCTACGCGAGAAACATGGTTCTGGCCGTGAAGAAGTAGTTGGTACATGTTTCAAAGGAGTTTGAAATACCATTTGTTCGATTGGAGCTTGTAATGACTCAATATTTGATGAAATATTCTCATGATGTACTTTTTCTTCATTTATGATCGGCTTTGGCTCTAATGTATCTACCTTTATATTTGTATTTTGTTGATTACAGCTACCAGATTGTAATACATTCCCAAAATGTTGAGATGGAAACACAAGAGACTGAAATTCATTGTTACTCGTTTTATAATAATTATGTTGATCTATGGATTGAAAATCACTTTTATAAGGTTGCTCTTCGCTCGATTGTCTTTTAATCTCTTCGTTAGAGATATGCCTATTTTTGTACTCATTCTGAGAATCTTTCTCTTGGGTACAAGCATTTTCACAATTTAATTGCACATTATTTACTTGTTCAGGCTTTGTGTTTCTTTCACATTTTGCGTTATATTCATGCTCCTTAAATTTTGAAGACTGCCGTGACACACTAATGTCATCGTTGATGTCAAAATTGTCTTCTCCAGAACTTTTTAATACATTATTACATAAATTTACATCATTATAATTACTGTGTGTAGGAACATGCACATTGGTAGTTACACTATTTGTTGTACACTTAACAATATTGTCAGCTAAAGTTGGTTCTTCGAGTTTCGAAGGAATGTTAGTCTGTGAAACTTCACAAGATGGAACTAAGTCATCATTACATTTTGTACTGATCAAAGGTAATGCATTATTGGAATCGTCTTCAACGATACTATCTTCAGGTAAAGGTTGTACATCGTCAGGGTCTGATTCACTACTGGAATCGTCTTCTGGTTTGTCTTCACTTTCATCATCATCAGTGTCACAAAAATGTAACAACTCTTTTACGCGTATTGGTTGAAATTTTGGACGTGTGTTCGTATAGTTTTGATCCATACTATCCAACATGATCCTATCATTTATCGAAAGATTCGACATTCTCGAACAAAAATATAAACAATTCACGCTAACCGACGAAGGAAAAAATGTAATTCGAACATATGTAATACAATATCATATCAGAATGTCAGACTTTCTTAACAACAAACTGTTATAAAATGTCCGATAGTTTTCTTTATTATAAAAACTATTAAAAGCTCTCGAGAACTATGTATCCTTTGTTCCTCTAAAAGCATCGTCGAACTTGTAATTATCAAACTCACTTTAACTTTGATACTAAATGTACAATTTCGACAGAAACCGATAGGCACGCAACATACATTGTATTATTATCACAAACAATACTTATTTTCTTTAATAAAATATGGATAAAAACACAAAGTTTACTTTTGTGATTCGGAACTATTTGATTTATATTGTATATACTGTTTTTCCGTTTACGTCATTACATTCAAACGCTAATGGCGTATGTTGATTGGGGGACTGTACAGTGTTGCACCCCACAACTTTGTAGAACTAGGGATAATTTACAGAATTGCATCGACGCTGTTGTGGTCGCCGCCTGGCGCCGTGTAGCAGAAGCTCTGGGGGGCGCGAGGTTTTAATAGATTACACGAATGTAATAGGAAAGGGAGACAAAGTGGAGCCCGCGCCAATTCTACGGATTAAAAGAGGTTAATGATTTCACTTCGGGAAATAGATTAGCCAATAATTTATTGGAGACGGATGTTTGGATCGTCGTGAGCTCCCCTTTGATCCCTTCTCCTAAGTGTGTAATTCCTGGAACTTGGGCCGTGCGCTATCGATAGCCGGAAACGGGCTGCGTGGAAAAGCCGATAACGACCACGTGCCGCATAGGACCGTTCTCGAGGGATGGGGGGAGTGTGCCGAGGAACGCGCGTGCGAGAGTTTTGCGCCCGGTCCGAATGAAAGAAAGGACGACTGGAGGGGCCTACGTGTGGGCTGGGCCTCGACCGAACGGCAGAGCGACTTCACTTGAATCCGGAGATCGAAAGTGAACGGACGTATCATTGTAACTTAAGCGAGATCGTACTTGTATTATTTTGAGTTAGTTAATAGAGTTGAATCGGCAACGAGAGAAACATCTTGAATTAAGAGAGCGGAAGTGTACGAAAGGGTTACAAGATTCCTGCGAAATCTTGGTTGTTTTGTTTTATATTCTTTTATTGAGTTAATTAAAGTACTATTTACGTTTGTTCAAATCCTTGTATCCATTTATTATTTTCCTTATTTAGCGATCTTCGTTTGAAACTCCCGCGTCCAAGGAGCAGAGTGCCTTAGCACTCCACGGGCAGCGTTCCCCGCCGAATTCCCTACGGAGGATCGGAAATACGCCGCCGGACGCGCAACAACGCATATCTAAAACCAATGGACGCTTTCGTTAAATTTATTAAACGACAAATTATAAATGCAATGTATGACACTGATTTTTGATAAATTGATTTAGAAATCGCAGCTGTAATTGGAATGGCAGTAGCAATAATGATGACAGTAACTGCTGAAGGAACTTCCAAGATCGAATTTGGCAGATTTCAAATGCAACAAGTGTTAATTAATCACTGTTTCTCGATAAACTTGGACGTTCTGCCTCGGATAACGGCGCAATGCGTGATTGGAGAAAAACATTATATGCAACTTCTATTTTATACCTCGTCCGTGGTTCAACGTCGTGGTTGACAGATCCTCGCCAGATGTCGCTATTGGTCGGCCGCTATATTGATCAAGTTAGATTTTCTAAGAACGCACGTTGATAAGATCTTGTATTTGTCGGTTGCACGAGAAATTCGTCGCGATAGGTCAAAACACACGTCGGCACGATTTTCGGTGAGGTTTGCCGCGCGCCATTCTAGCCTCGTAATTTTTCGCCTATGACGTCATTTGTGAATTACACAAGCGTCACCGCTCAGTCTGTTGTGGAAAATTTCGTCGAATCCATGGCAGCGCGAACCGAGCTCTGTTTTTCCAAATAAAAAGAAAAGAGCGAATCGACGAATTTTTAAGCTACGTGGTGTCAACCGGACGGGCCCCTATTGACAGTGCTTTATCCCGTGGAAACCACGTCCGAACGAAGTGAGCAATTTTACTTCGCCTCTCTTTTTTTCGCGAACATTTCAGTGGCAAGTCTATATTTGTTGCGCGCCAAACGATTGTAACCGTATCGTGGAGGGTTGTTTCTTTTATTCTACGCGTCTTTGAAACGCTGTACGGTGGCGGTTCGCGTGTTTTACGAGAATGACAGCTTCCGTCCGTCCGCGAGGCGAACTCGCCAATTCAATGGAAGTTTTGGACGTCGACGGGTAAATATCTCCGTACGCGTTTTGGCAAATCGGACCAACGGCAGTAGTTAAACAATTTGCGTAAGGTAGGATTTAACAGTTCTGTGAATCGCGACTGGGAAGTCGTTCCGGCGATAGTTTAATGTTTACATTCGTTGCCACGATCATTCGATAGCGTCGACAATCGTATTTGTCACGAGCCATTGTTACGTTTTGTTATATTTCCTTTTCGCGACAACACGTTCACGATTTTCTTTTTTATTTACAAATCGTCGAAGGTACATTCGAACACGTTTCGCGCCTCCTCCATTACGCCATAACGATAATTTACAGAAAAACTAAGCTGTCAATGGTTTCACAGGTACACTTGCCCTGTTTGGTAGTAATTTGACAGTCTGTCAAAATGTCAATGCAACAGTTTTGTTTGCGGTGGAACAATCATCAACCGAACTTCATTTCGGTTTTCTCAAATTTGTTGAACAATGAGACTCTGGTAGATGTGACACTGGCTGCAGAGGGCAGACACCTTCAAGCGCACAAAGTTGTATTGTCCGCATGCAGTACATACTTCCAGTCATTGTTTACCGTGAATCCCTGTCAACATCCAATTGTCATACTGAAGGATGTCAAATTCTCTGATCTAAAAATCATGGTTGACTTTATGTATTATGGCGAGGTAAACATATCACAGGATCAGTTGCCATCGATCATAAAGGTATACAAAAATGTTTTTTTATTATAATTCCATTATTAAACAATGTACAATTAATATACTTTCTTTGTTCTCTTGCATAGACTGCAGAAAGTTTGAAGATAAAAGGACTGGCAGAAATGCATACTGCTTCTCTGACCAAGTGGCCGAGTAGTAGCAGCGAACCTGGAGGAGGGGATCGTGGTGAATCTTGTTCACCCAGCCCATCTCCGTTATCACCATCCTTTCGCAGAAAAAGATTAAGGAAGTCATCTACAGGATCAACATCCGGATCTGGCGATAAACCGGAAGAAATTAACGAAATCACTTTAGTTGCTACAAATATTGTAAAACCAGAACCATTAATAGTTTCGCAAGATGGTGGTGAAAATCTTAGGAGACCCGTGAACACGAGTACCGAATCCCAGGGCAGCATCGACGAAGATCAAATATCAATTGTATGCACGATTTTGTTACATCAAAATTTTCATTTCTATGCAGAATGAAAATATCGTTGGTGCAATTTATTTTAGATGAGCAATATGGAGAACAGTTCCGCGACAACACCGGCACAGAGCGACGGTTCAATACAAGATGTGAGTCAACAAACGGGCGGTAACGTGGCGCAGAGTTCAGTGTCTTCGCAACCACCTGCGCATCAAGGTAAGTAATTGTTAATAATGCGTGCAATTAATCTGAAATAATTTTGTTTGTATGATATAATATTATAGAAGAATGATGAAACGTTTAACGACGTATCGTAAAATGATTTTTAAAGGACGTTTTATACCTCTGAATAAATTCAGTGTACATAAATGGGGTAGTTGTCTACATTTAAAGTTACTGCCTCTTTCTTTTTATGCTGCATGACTTATATAAAAAACTTTACAGGAATATTCTGAACGATTAATACTAAAATGTAGCAAGTAAATTGTGTAAGAATTGTTTCAGAGGTAAAGCTTAATAACACTTTTATAGTTACTTTAATATTGTGCTTGCAACAGAGTAAAATTATAGATTATTACAAATCCACAGTTTACGTACATCTATCGGAAATTATAATATATTTTTATATTAATTTTAGCGATGGAGCGTTAAAAGTTGTATGATAGAATACTACTTGAGCCGTGAACACTGATTTTTATACGATCCAAACGTATTTTGAAACCCTATTTGCTACTGTACACGAACGGCAATAACTTGATTTTGTACATGCATGATTACTATATCTTTCACGCAAATATCTTGGTAAATTGGTAGTTAAGTAAAATTTGTACAGAGTGTGGTGGGTATTGAAACTGCATGTTGATAAACAAAACTTACACACATTATATGCTGGCACAGATGCGTTTAAATGTACTGCACAAGGAAAATCAACAGACGTTTGACATGAAAATAGAGCGAAAGTTGAGGAAAAATATAAATTAGTTATGCAATATTTCAAGGCTAGTCTCATTCATAAAATTCACCATGGTACACAGATACATAGCACACAATGTATAATGTTCTTTAGAGGACAGTAAAATCGGGCCTTTAACATTGTTGAGTGTGTATGTGTGCCTTGCTCTGTCCTTTAATTTAACAAAGTCATACACTTTTCCAATACTTGAGATCAATGACAATGTGCTTTAAAATGTATCTGTGCCATGCCACAAGTTCTATTAATATTTCCATATGTATACCACTTATTTTCATAGACTTTTACAAAATATTTTTTCCATTCTTTTCTGCTTACAGCTTAGCATCGTTACCTTTTTTTTTTTTTTCACACACAGTAGCATAAAGCATCGAGTTCCATTCAAACTGGACAATTACCTATATTATTCTACAATACGATTTTACGAGCAATAACACGATCATGCTAATATGCTCTTAATATACTATATAAACATTTGATTCCGTTTCGCCAAGCCACATATAACGTTCTCCTTTCTCAAACTATCGTTTACATTTAGTTTACAAAAGTACAACTTTTTTTTTAAAAATCACATCTCATACATATCCGACACACTTAATTAGTATTTATCGTTGCATTTAATAAAAACGTATAGCCGGTCGAACTAATTCCTGTGCTCTGACCAAAGATAAACCGGTCTGTTCCACAGGATTGCAATGGACTATTATGGAGCACACATATCCACGTTTCGCTCTGTCCTCGTGTCAAACGAATCTGTCGATCCAAGCGTCATCAGCTTTTACCACGCCCGAAATAACAGCTTCCTCGACCATCAGCGATCAGTACTCTGGTACCAGCACGACTGGTTCCAGTTGCGCCCTGACGAATTACCCGAACTCCTCCCACGGGACGTTGCAGCACGCATCGTCGAGCGGCCCTTCACCGTCTACACAGTGCCCCAGTAACTGCCAGAGCCCGTGCGCCAGTCCGCAGACTGCAATTAAGAGGAAACGATCGACGAACCCGCAAGCGGACGAGAACTTTATCAGAGCGCTGGACGCTGTGCGTTACGGCGGTATAGGGTTCTGTAAAGCGGCGAGGATGTTCGGCGTGAACAACCGAACGCTATGGTTGGAGTACAAGAAGCGCGGTTACCCGAACAACCGACCCAGCCTGAAGTCGCGGGTGAAACAAGAGGTGAACTCCTCGCCGCCGCCAGCACCATCCGCCCAGCCCGTTAACTCGCAGAGTCCCACACCAATGGGACCACCCACCACTCCGCACAGTGCACACAATACCCACAGCACGCACACCATGCTGACCACTCACAGCCCGCACACGATGCTGAGCGGTTACATCGACAGCAGGCACACGGACTACGCCTTACCGAGCACCACGATGCCGATCAATTTACACGGCGTTAATTACAACGCGATGTGAACCGGCCACGACGCGCCGACCGTCGTTACATGTATAGACGAGCTTGAGAAGTATTAAAAATTTGTCGGTGATACTCATTTATGATAATGAGAGAAGAGAAACGGGGGGGACGGGGAATCGTAAAGTGTCAAACGCAGTGAACACACAGTTTTTTAGATATCTTTTTGCCTAGTTCGTACGCACCTATAAGCAAGGACTTGGTACCGGTATCACGCCAAGAAACCTGTACCGAAAACCGAACCGAAATTCTGACACCCGAACTTTGCTACCAAGTCTGCTATTTCCATTCTATTATAACATGGAAACGTTTTAGAATATATTTTCCATCGTCGACTAGTAACGTGTAACTACTATAAGAAAATAGTACCGGTTTTAGGTCTGGGTTGAGATTTGTAACGGAATAGAGAGCACCGAAAAAATTACCGGTAGGTGTAAGTAAATATATCGGTATTTTTATATAGCTATATGATGTTATACTGATACTTCTGTATTTCGCATACCGGTACAAGTCCCTGCCTATGAGAAGCTCGGAGTAATTGGGAACTCTGTCAAAGAGACGAACATCGGTACATACTTTATACGCTGCAAAGATTTTTTTATATTAGAATACACGTGGCGTAACTGAAGATGTTCCTTGCCAATGCTCGGAACTCTTCGCTTCGTTACTCTTTCTACGATCTTCTATGGAAGAGGGAAACAAATTATTCTTTCGATCAAAGAAAGAATTGTACATTGATAGATGCTTTCCCTTCTATCGACAATTTAATTACTCGTTCACGAACAATTATCAAATAGGAAATCCGAATCAGCGAGTTCTGGACTGTACGTCAACGATGTATTCGAGTTGGTCGCGTTGTCCGGTACCGGAAGTTCCGTTGGACGATAAAACAAGCTTTGAAAGCGTTTCCTTTTGTCGAAACGTATTGTTTGAAGTCTAGATTGCGCGATGTGATTTCGGATAGATATATAGATGAACTACATTGACCATATTTTTTTTTTTTTTTTTTTTAACGTTTTTATCGCCCTATATCATACACATAAAGTTGGTGCAATATATCGACTCTTTACATTCACGAAACGCCGCGGTAAATAGTGAAACTATTTTGCTCGACCAACTTTAGCTATATAACAACGTCGACGCATAACTCGTGTATATAGTGAATAAAGTAGCGATGCGAAATTATTAGTCAAAAGAATAATATCATGTGTACTTGCACACAGTTAACACATCCTACGGATCTAACTACTTGTCTACGAACAAAAATCTTCGAACACAAGCGATTCGTCGCCAATACATGTATTACGATTAATTGTTGCTACGGTGGTAGATTCACGTAAAACTTTGTTCGAGTTTGTGCGTGAATTTTTGTAACGCGTACGATAGTTTCTGTAAGTTACATAATATATTGTTTGCAGAGATCGGGGTCGTTCAAAATTTCGTAAAATGATTCTACGCCGCTCGAAACATTTTACTATACAGGGTGCGATCGTAAAATACAGCGCAACTTCGGAGGCGGATTTGATACAGATTAAATCGTTGTACGCGGTAGATTTAATTTATTTATATAGACGTAGACTTTTAAGCAAAGATACGTAACCATAAAACATGGTTAAAGGAGTCGAGTCTCGAGTGATTTGTCTTTTAAATCCGGATTACGTATTTCAACAAATCTTAATTTATTGTCTCGGATTTAAATTTCCCGTTTGATTCTTTCCTCCACATGTTTGTATGAATCTGTATCGCTGAATAGCCTTTCGAAGTTGTGAATGTCCGGCTTCACCCTGAAAGTAGATATAACAGGTTACAGGGTATAGCGTGAAATTCAAGTACGCTGGTTTTTGTTAAGCAAGAGAAGCGTGGAACTCTGGTTTCCATTATAATGAAAAGCGTACGATATGCTCGAATTGTCTTTCGATATTCACGAATAATTGTGGTAGTAAAATTGTTTGAGATTTTGTTCTTCAAAGAATTTTTAAAATAGTAACGAAACAATCTTTTTTATTAATTTTTAACTTTTATCACTTTTGATCGCTTAACTGCGTACCGTATGTAACGGTATATGATTTGTACAAATGTATTTTTGTATTTATGCATTAAGAAGCAACGTGCTTCGTACAGTGCAATACGACGGAATGATTGTTTTCCTAGTTTATACGTTGGTTTGTTAGATGTATGGCTGTATTGCTAACTCGTGGAAACATAAAAAAGTAATGCATGTATTGAGAAACTGTTTTACGATACGACAACTTATCGCTCGATTGTCGATTTTTCTCTTTTTTTAACTTTCCACGATGGTGGTTTTTAAGGCTAGAGTTATTTTGCTCGTTTGCGTAGGCAAAGTGACAAAAATAGCGCGAAGAAAACGCGAAGTTCATAGACAACTACGATGCTAGAATTAATTAAAAGACATGTATCATGTTTAGCACTAAACTAAGCGCATTGAATTTTAATAACAATGTAAATATCATTTATCATTGAAAACATACTCTTCCAATCTTAATTTTATAACCGTGCAAATAAGTATTATTCAGTTGTGTTGCATGTTTTATGTAATTGCATTTAAAATAGATGAGGTCCGTATTTTATTTTATTCGTACTTAATAAATATCCGACGAAAACTGTCAATTTATTTTTGTCTTCCTGTTCTTATTCCGACGAATTGAATTATAAATATTTATAATTTATATTGTATAGTTAGGTTCAGGTCCGAAGCACGCGAGCTCTTTGAATTTTTATTAACAAAAGCTACGATAATATTAAATAGACTTTATTTACTAAGAGACAGTCGATGTATATTATCAAGAAAATAATCGAACGATTATTTTAATGAAAAGCATACATTGGGTGTGCTTCCATTTACATCTGTACAAAATAATAGATAATTATAGGATGTTAAAAATGTTGAACGTAATGTATACACTCTTAAACTTAACGCCTCTCGCCCCTATGAACTGTCGCCGGGACGTACGAGAGGACACTAGTTTAATCGGTACGAATTTTATATGTGAAGAAGTCGAGTTTACTGTGTCAGTGTTCTGTGTAACGTCTTTAATAAAAGCAACGCGATGGAAGTGCTATAATTCAAGTTGTTTCCGGCCGTGACGGGACTTTGTTCACGTATGATATCCGTCTTTTTAGATCTTTATTTATGTAGCAATTTTGACAATGAAAATAAAGTTTTATTTAAAAACGACACGCGTTGGTGAAGCATATGGGGTACCAAGGTGTAAACAATTATGTGCCAGCATATAAACAGAACGTTGTAAATATCCTGTGCATAAACCACACAGTAATACTCACATACTTGTCAATGTGTTGTGTAAAAAAAAAATTTCTCCTGGACATTCAGACTCCTTCCATTCTCATTTCCATCTTCAAAAGGATATCTATGACCATTTATTTAAATACACCTTCGCGACCTGCAACAACCCAAAAATGAAAACATCCGTTTGACTCTGTTTGTATTTTTCAGCCGTATGCAGGCAAACAATAGGTACCAAAAGGTGCAGACTCCTGACCCGTCAGCCACGCGTGAAGAAGGAACCGAATCACCTGTCCCCGGACAGCGAGATGTCCTCGCCTCACATCGTCCCGTTGCCCATACACGTCGCGACGCCGACGCTGAACCTACCCCAGACGTCCAGAAGCTGGGAAGAGTCGCGGATCGCGTCGCCGCCGCAGCCACAGCCGATTCTGGTGAACCAGCCAAGTCTGTTAACGGTGACCACATCGACAAACCTGTTGACCGTGCCTCAACCCTCCTACCTGACGAAGCAACACTCTCACCCGCTCTTGTCTAGTCAGCAACAGTCCACCAGTGGCAACTACCTGATCCACAGGCAGCACTCGAACCCAGAGTTCCCTGGCAGAACGACCAGTCCGTCGATCGTCGTCGAGCCGGCGCCTCTCATCAAAACCGAAGAGGATATCGCGGAGGAATCCGGGTCAGCCACCACCGAGACCACCGCTGCCCTAGCGCCCGAGCTCAGAGTGAAAACTACCGAGCTCAGACGCAGCTCCTCGTCCCCTCAAGTAAGGAGACCAGTGGCTAAACTATAGCTGTTGATTTGCTCTGGCTGAAGATAAAAGATTAGGGCTATATTAAGGCGTTACTATTTGTATTTTATAATCTTTCAATCAGACTGTATTACTCTATGCAAGGTAGTTCTTGTTAGACGAATCCAATCCGTTGGCAATTTATCTTCAGCAAATGTACAGAGATGTTCTTCCAGTATTAATTTATTTCTTGGTCTGTTGTAGACGACGAGCAGGGAAGCCAGAGAAAGCACAGGTGATCAGCGTCTGGGCCACTGTCCAGTGTTGCGTCCAGGTCCCGCCTTGGGCTGCAATCATTGCTGGAACACGATAGACGCCCACAACAGGATACTCCGAAGGAAAACGAAGTACCACTGTCCGGAATGCCAGATCAATCTCTGCATCGTGCCATGCTTTCAGGAGTACCACGAGCAACGCCGCGAGCTGAAGCTCAAGTCTCTGCCAAAAACTGGCTCCGTCTAATGCGTCTCTATTCAGCGCCTTGTCGCACAGGTCGCAACACGCTTTTCTCACACGTGAAACTGCGCAAAATGCAGTCACTCTCACAGAATCGATTTTTCTGAACACTCTTAGGAGCTTCGCAGTTCGTTGATCGAGAGATAGTTTCCGAAGTGAATTGTCGTTTGCCTTATCGAATGATATTTTGCGGGGAAGATGATTTGACTGGATAACGAAAGTTCCTAAGGATGTTAGTACGGCGACTCCAGCGACGAATTGTTATAGTTGTTGAACGCAGCCGTAACTAGGCGCAGAGAACTCGGGATGAATATTTGTGAACTTGGCGAATTCTGTAGCCATTGTTCCCTTCGTCGCGCTTTGGGCGATGCTCGTTTAGTAAAGTATTGCTTGCAAGTAATTGATAAAATAACTTTCTGACGACGAAAAGAATTGTTGAGCGTGAGTGATCGATGAATCTTGGATCTATTAATTTTCTGCAGTTTGTGTGCGTGTGTCTTTTTCTTGAGTGAAGCGGGAAACTTTAGTCTTTTTAAACGATATCTTCTATATCTTTGTTGAACACAATACACTTTTTAGTTATTCCTCAAGTCATTGTTTAAAATTTTTTAGTATCTTCTGTGTTTCAAGAATAGCTCGTCGTCGAAAACATATGCATTAATAACGTAAGTGAAGGAGTATTTCCTATTTCTAAACCCGCGTTGACTCACACTAATGCACTGGTGTTTTTGATCAAGTGCTACTCTCGAATGAATTAATATTTTAACATTTGTGTGCAGCTTTCCATTCAGCGAAACTCAGGAAAGGATTTTTAGAATTTTTAGTATGTATATGGTGATGCAAAAATAATCGTTAGTCCCCATTGTTACATTATGCAAAAGAAAAACGTGTGATCAATAGGTGAACTGTAGATTAACAATTTTCAAAGTAGAGTAGCATAGTACAACTCTAACTCGGATCTAATCCAGACTTAGCGTAGATTTAATGTTCTACTTGATCCAACTGCTGTAAGAGGATGAGGAACAATAATGCAAGATGCACTCGTTCAAAAATGATTACTTTTGCAATACCTTATACGTTGACAAGAATGTATCATTTTGTATTTGTCGCTTTTCTTACTGTCCGGTAAGAATTTAATTTAAGAACCTAGGAAAGCCTTGAATATCTCTTGTTCGTGAATTTTCTAAAGGGTAAATATTGCGTGTTTGTACAAAGCATAAAAGAGAAGAATTGTCCTTTGAGAATGTCGAACTTTGCAACGATATTAACACAAAGAGGGGTTGGTTTCGCGTCCGAAAATCGAAACGAAGATCTACGTGTTTATCTACGTTCGCCAAAAAAAGAAAGAGAAAAGAATATCGGTCCGATTTCTTGTATTTTTTTACGCCACCGGGCGAGTACCTAATAGTCGACGATTAAACGCGATTTCTAAACGCGTAGTATATTTATAAAATATTTGTCACGTATTAACTTAATTGTGTATCGGTTCGACAGCCACGCTGATCGCGAGCAACGACTCCCGAAAGAGGTGTGAACCTATCCTAGAGATATATTCTTGCATAGACACCGTTACTTAGTACACATTGTATTTCTACAACGCAATTAACTTATTCTCATACGCGTGTAAATAACTCGGTAGCTGTGTAAATATACATATACATATATTTTTTATGGAGACGAGTGTCCGAGGAGGCTTCCAAAATTCGAGGGAAGCTGTACGGAGCGTAGAAACGCGATTTTCACCGACGAGTCCACGCGTCTGGTTATTAAACAAATTTTTATACCGACACCTAACGAGTATTGGAATAAAATGGCGAACAAAAATTGCGTGTCAACCATCGAAGAGATCGTTGTGAACGAGTGACTTTAAATTCATGGTTTTCTTCGACTTTCGACTTGGATCGCGTAGATTCGTCCGTGAAAACGCGACAGATATTTTTCTCGTGCCCTGTCGATCGATTTGAGACGAAGGGCCGTCGAAGATTAGAAGAAAACTCGTTTCGACGTTTTATTCTTGTCGCAGTTGCGCGCAGTGATCTCCAACGGAGATGGGCACAATTTTGTTCGAGTAATAAATTTATTTCTCACGTTTATTCGATCGAACGGTTAAATTTCTATTTATTTCTCGCGAAGCATTCCATTCAAAATACTTTTATTTATCCGTTTTTTTGAAATTTATGTTTAGACAAGAATTTTGCCCGTTTCTAATCTCTAACGACCTCCTATCGTTCGTTTCCAGAACACGTGTACTTGATGCATTTATCGAAACGAGTTAAATCCTGGTCAAACGGTTTTCTATGGACGAGAAACGCTGGTTTTCGACATTTTTTGGATCAGCGACGACGTCTTTGATAAGACTAAAAAACATTTTGCACCGGTTCTGCGAGGTTTTCATAAAGAAAATAGGGTACGTGCAGCGAGTTGCCACAGAGAATGCCCCGATTTTAAAAAAGTTTCTTCGCGAAAGCATTACGAGTAGTATTTTAAGGGAAAAGTACAAGTACAGGATCGAAAATAAAAATAAAAGTTTCCTGTTCGTTTCGAACTCTGTCCAAGTGCATTCTATCTGGCTCTTCGGTATCGTACACACATATATATATATATACATTTGTTACAAACGAAAGACTTTCGTATCGTCGCGAGAATTGTCCACGAATTTAGTTTCGGCACGGAGAATATATATATTTTTAATTTAATATAAGAGAATACGTGCGACGATCTATAATTCGAGCGAGATCGCGAACGCTCGAAATTGTCTTTCATGAAGCTCGTAGAAGAAAGGGAATCGTTTCGACGTTTCGCAACGGACGGTAGTGTTTGTTTTAACTAGAATATATACTCGTATAAAATAAAATAATATTAACGAGTTCTGTAACTTCGAGTATGGAACCTTAAAGTCCGTCGAGTTCTGCAAATCGAGTGTTAACGATCTCCTTTGTTGGTTGCGAAGCGATCAACGAACGTGACCTTGCCCTTTATCGGAGGAAGAGAGCTTATCGCGCGGAGACGCATTTTCCCCCTACCAGTCGCCCCTAAAAACGTGTTACGAATCATTGTTCCGTAGGCTCTGCAGTCCCCGTCGAACCGTCAAAGATGTAGCATGCGTGCGATATATTTTTCTTGGCATTGCGAGATATACTATGCGCAGTTGTATCGATTAATTATATTTTATGTAAATCTAGGCGTAAGATTCGTAAATGAAAATAAAAAGAATGTGATCCAACTCGATGTGTGGAGATTCTATTATCATTCGATATCCTGTTACCTCCTGTACTCGCCATCAGAGGGCTACGCTCTTAACTTTCTCGCAAGTGCTCGATTATCCAATGCCCAAGGGGGGTCTGTTTTAGCGATGGGTCCAGAAGCAGGCCCCTTGGGACTTATGATCTTTCTCACCTCTTGCACCAGCAAAGCTCAACCCTCTGCGTTCGTACGTCTATCTATCAAAGGGTCAGCGAGAACAATTGTTGCCTAGATCCTTGCAGTATAGATCAAAGTGCACCCGGCGTCTCGGTAACCTAGTTATCCTCGCTTCAATTGTATCTCGCTCTCTCTCTGTCTGCTTCTCACTCTTATCGAGAATTCTGTTGCATTCCTCGAGCAGCTTCCTCTCTCCACTGTGCCCTCCGATCGACAATATTACGCGTCCACGCGTTATTCGCCGTTTGGCCTACTAACGAGACCCTATTCGATCTGCCAAGGGGGGAGCGTCGCAGAGGCAAGTGAATCGCGCTGTTGTAATTTGCAAAACTGAGCGCTCCGGTGTCAGTAATGCTCGATACGGTTCCTCCAATAATTCAACGTATCGCTGATACACCAATAATCCGGGCCAAGGGACAGTTTTTCTAGTTCTGGTCCGGCGCGGCGGGGTCAGCCGTTTGTTTCTTCCCTCGCAAGCTGACGCCAGTAGGTTACCCTCCCCGTGGAGCGACGAAAGGACCGTCATCTTGGATCCCCCAAAAGCCACGGCGATATTGTACGTGCAGCCGCTGCCCCGTCGACAGCTGGGACCCTCGTCTCGTTTCTGTCGCAGCCAAGGATCTCCCGGGCGGCTTCGATCGGGAACGAAAAGTCACGGATTAATCGTTTGCACCCTTGCAACGACGCACGGGGGCGAACTGATCTCGTTAGGGTGACGTTTAAATCACATTACGCGGACTGTGATCGGTTTACCGGTAGCCCTGGCTCGACGTCGAAACCCGGGTAATCCTGTTCGACCGGTGTTTGGAAACTTGAAAAATTTAGTCCTGTTCCTCCCTTGTTTTTGGATCTTTCCGTTTGAGAGAACCAAGCATCATGGAAGCTAAAAAAAAAGAACTAAATTAGAAAAATCATCTGGTCTGGAGACTAGTAACAGTTCAGATAATAGGAGTACTTAGGAAGATGGATCAACAAGACTCCTTTATCCCCCGTCGGATTCATATAAATGGAGGAAGTTCCATCGCATGTTCATATGAACTTTAAAATTTCAGAGTCCGAAATCTACTAACAGAGACTTTCAATTCACTAACACTCGCAACATTATTAACAGGTTACAAAAATTAACGCAAAAAGTGAGACAGAAAATGAAATTATAGAAACATTTCCAGCCGCCCGTTATATTTTCGGTAAAGAATTTTTTTCTCGAAACTGCGTAGGATTTCGAGGATAAGTGTATTCACTAAAAATAATTGTAATTGGCCCCTCTAACTGAAAATAATTTTTCCGGAACGATTTGAAATTTTTTTTTTCGGCCGAAAAATTTAGGTAATTACTGAATTTTTTTCTCGAAACCAGTTAGGAATTCGGGGGTATATCTATTCACTAAAAATAATTGTAATTGGCCCCTCTAACTGAAAATAATTTTTCCAGAACGATTTGAAATTTTTTTTTTCGGCCGAAAAATTTAGGTACTTACTGAATTTTTTTCTCGAAAACAGTTAGGAATTCGAGGGTATGTCTATTCACCAAAAGTAATTGTAATTGGCCCCTCTAACTGAAAATAATTTTTCCGGAACGATTTGAAATTTTTTTTTTCGGCCGAAAAATTTAGGTAATTACTGAATTTTTTTCTCGAAACCAGTTAGGAATTCGGGGGTATATCTATTCACCAAAAATGATTGTAATTGGCCCCTATAACTGAAAATAATTTTTCCAGAACGATTTGAAATTTTTTTTTTCGGCCGAAAAATTTAGGTACTTACTGAATTTTTTTCTGGAAACCAGTTAGGAATTCGGGGGTATATCTATTCACCAAAAATGATTGTAATTGGCCCCTCTAACTGAAAATAATTTTTCCGGAACGATCTGAAATTTTTTTTTTCGGCCGAAAAATTTAGGTACTTACTGAATTTTTTTCTGGAAACCAGTTAGGAATTCGAGGGTATGTATATTCACCAAAAGTGATTGTAATCGACTCCCGGAAGCAACAATAATTTTTTTAGAACGATTTGAAATTTTTCTTTTCGGCCGAAAAATTTAGGTACTTACTGAATTTTTTTCTGGAAACCAGTTAGGAATTCGAGGGTATGTATATTCACCAAAAATGATTGTAATCGACCCCCGGAAGCAACAATAATTTTTTTAGAACGATTTGAAATTTTTTTTTTCGCCCAAAAATTTAGGAAACTACCCCGTTGTTCGAAACCAAAATTTCGACAGTAAATGTTAATAATTTAAATACAAACGTAACGTAACATCGACGATCGAATAATAAATATGGCGGTTAGGATGATCGAAGGTTCTACGTCTCTTATTTGGAGAATTCTATGGTTTCCACGCCCCCGTATAG